ATTGAAAGGTGATGAGATTAATTTTTTCTTTTATATTCCTCTGTATTGTCCGAATTTTCTGCAAAGGGCATGTCTTATTTCTATATCAAAATGCAAACACAGTAAGTGTTTTGTTAGTGGGTAGGACTGGGTATCACAAGGCACAAAGGAGGCTATTTCGGGTACGGGAACAGCTTGCACACAGCATGGAAGCAGGATGAACGCGAAGCTTCTCACAGTCAGTGGGGAGATCGGTCATAAAAGAGGGATCATTGGGGGAAACTGTGAGAAATAAAATGGAATGGGCACAAAGGCGGTGGATAATGAAGGCTTCTGAAAGACAGGCAGACAGGTTGGGACTTGGTTGTGTAAGCAGTAAGAGGCCTCTGGAGATTCTTAATCAAAGAACATGCTAGGAGCAGCACTTCAGAAAGCTGAGCAGGCAGCTGCTTGCAAGGTGGCCTGGGGGCGCCGGGGGAGTCGGTGGGGGCCGTCTGGAGCAAGAATTATCAAACTGGAAGCCGCATCTCCACTCAAGGTGAAGAAAGCTGGACCGAGTGTAGAAACAGAAGGAAAAGGGTAAATCTGAAAGATGCAGCGAAGGAAAAATAACTTCTTGGTGATTGATTCAGTATAAAGAATGAAGGAGAGGCAAGCGTGCATGATAACACCAAAGTTTTTATCTGGACAATTAGAAAAAAGTGGTGGCAGTGACAGGCTAGTTGGGAAGCAGCTAATTTAGAAGAGAAAGTGAAGAGGTCAGTTTGGAACATGATGAGTTTGAAGTGATGGTGAGACTTTTAAGAATATGGGACGTTTTGACTCTGACGTTTTGGACCCGGGGGAATATTGACTTCAAGGATATTTGACTTTATTTACAAATACAAATGGCTTATTCAAAATGTATACAAACATTTTAAAATGCTTTTCAAGAAGATATTTTTTGGAAATCATTTCCATCCTGACAGTGTAATTCCTTGATCAATTTTCTACCCCAGATCAGTAAACTCTCCCCAGATCTTTCATTTTTTATGAAAATGGTTTTCCTTGAAGCAAATTATTTTTCATTTATATTTTGTGATATTCAATCCAACCCTGTTTTTGTCCTCAACAGATACTGTCACTAATACTGTCACCATCTTAGAAGTTCTTTGTGACCACTATTTCTATCCAATTTTTCCAGGTCAAATTTTATAGATCTAAAATTTGCCAAGAAGATTTTATTATTATTTCAGTTCTTTTTTTTTTAACATCTTTATTGGGGTATAATTGCTTTACAATGGTGTGTTAGTTTCTGCTTTATAACAAAGTGAATCAGTTATACATATATTCCCATATCTCTTCCCTCTTGCGTCTCCCTCCCTCCCACCCTCCCTATCTCACCCCTCCAGGCGGTCACAAAGCACCCAGCCGATATCCCTGTGCCGCGCGGCTGCTTCCCACTAGCTATCTACCTTACGTTTGTTAGTATATATATGTCCATGCCTCTCTCTTGCCCTGTCACAGCTCACCCTTCCCCCTCCCCATATCCTCAAGTCCGTTCTCCAGTAGGTCTGTGTCTTTATTCCTGTCTTACCCCTAGGTTCTTCATGACATTTTTTTTTTCCTTAAATTCCATATATATGTGTTAGCATACGGTATTTGTCTTTCTCTTTCTGACTTACTTCACTCTGTATGACAGACTCTAGGTCTATCCACCTCATTACAAATAGCTCAATTTCGTTTCTTTTTATGGCTGAGTAATATTCCATTGTATATATGTGCCACATCTTCTTTATCCATTCATCCGACGACGGGCACTTAGGTTGTTTCCATCTCCGGGCTATTGTAAATAGAGCTGCAATGAACATTTTGGTACATGACTCTTTCTGAATTCTGGTTTCCTCAGGGTATATACCTAGTAGTGGGATTGCTGGGTCATATGGTAGTTCTATTTGTAGTTTTTTAAGGAACCTCCATACTGTTCTCCATAGTGGCTGAACCAATTCACATTCCCACCAGCAGTGCAAGAGTGTTCCCTTTTCTCCACACCCTCTCCAGCATTTATTGTTTCTAGATTTTTTGATGATGGCCATTCTGACTGGTGTGAGATGATATCTCATTGTAGTTTTGATTTGCATTTCTCTAATGATTAATGATGTTGAGCATTCTTTCATGTGTTTGTTGGCAGTCTGTATATCTTCTTTGGAGAAATGTCTATTTAGGTCTTCTGCCCATTTTTGGATTGGGTTGTTTATTTTTTTGTTATTGAGCTGCATGAGCTGCCTGTAAATTTTAGAGATTAATCCTTTGTCAGTTGATTCATTTGCAAATATTTTCTCCCATTCTGAGGGCTGTCTTTTGGTCTTGTTTATGGTTTCCTTTGCTGTGCAAAAGCTTTGAAGTTTCATTAGGTCCCATTTGTTTATTTTTGTTTTTATCTCCATTACTCTAGGAGATGGGTCAAGAAGGATCTTGCTGTGATTTATGTCATAGAGTGTTCTGCCTATGTTTTCCTCTAAGAGTTTGATAGTTTCTGGCCTTACATTTAGGTCTTTAATCCATTTTGAGCTTATTTTTGTGTATGGTGTTAGGGAGTGATCTAATCTCATACTTTTACATGTACCTGTCCAGTTTTCCCAGCACCACTTATTGAAGGGGCTGTCCTTTCTCCACTGTATATTCCTGCCACCTTTATCAAAGATAAGGTGACCATATGTGCATGGGTTTATCTCTGGGCTTTCTATCCTATTCCATTGATCTATCTTTCTGTTTTTGTGCCAGTACCATACTGTCTTGATTACTGTAGCTTTGTAGTATAGTCTGAAGTCAGGCAGCCTGATTCCTCCAGCTCCATTTTTTGTTCTCAAGATTGCTTTGGCTATTCGGGGTCTTTTGTGTTTCCATACAAATTGTGAAATTTTTTGTTCTAGTTCTGTGAAAAATGCCAGTGGTAGTTTGATAGGGATTGCATTGAATCTATAGATTGCTTTGGGGAGTAGAGTCATTTTCACAATGTTGATTCTTCCAATCCAAGAACATGGTATATCTCTCCATCTGTTTGTATCATCTTTAATTTCTTTCATCAGTGTCTTATAATTTTCTGCATACAGGTCTTTTGTCTCCTTAGGTAGGTTTATTCCTAGATATTTTATTCTTTTTGTTGCAATGGTAAATGGGAGTGTTTTCTTGATTTCACTTTCAGATTTTTCATCGTTAGTATATAGGAATGCCAGAGATTTCTGTGCATTAATTTTGTATCCTGCTACTTTACCAAATTCATTGATTAGCTCTAGTAGTTTTCTGGTAGCATCTTTAGGATTCTCTATGTATAGTATCATGTCATCTGCAAACAGTGACAGCTTTACTTCTTCTTTTCCGATTTGGATTCCTTTTATTTCCTTTTCTTCTCTGATTGCTGTGGCTAAAACTTCCAAAACTATGTTGAATAAGAGTGGTGAGAGTGGGCAACCTTGTCTTGTTCCTGACCTTAGTGGAAATGCTTTCAGTTTTTCGCCATTGAGGATGATGTTGGCTGTGGGCTTGTCATATACGGCCTTTATTATATTGAGGAAAGTTCCCTCTACACCTACTTTCTGCAGGGTTTTTATCATAAATGGGTGTTGAATTTTGTCAAAAGCTTTCTCTGCATCTATTGAGATGATCATATGGTTTTTCTCCTTCAATTTGTTAATATGGTTAATCACATTGATAGATTTGCGTATATTGAAGAATCCTTGCATTCCTGGAATAAACCCCACTTGATCATGGTGTATGATCCTTTTAATGTGCTGTTGGATTCTGTTTGCTAGTATTTTGTTGAGGATTTTTGCATCTATGTTCATCAGTGATATTGGCCTGTAGTTTTCTTTCTTTGTGACATCCTTGTCTGGTTTTGGTATCAAGGTGATGGTGGCCTCGTAGAATGAGTTTGGGAGTGTTCCTCCCTCTGCTATATTTTGGAAGAGTTTGAGAAAGATAGGTGTTAGCTCTTCTCTAAATGTTTGATAGAATTCGCCTGTGAAGCCATCTGGTCCTGGGCTTTTGTTTGTTGGAAGATTTTTAATCACAGTTTCAATTTCAGTGTTTGTGATTGGTCTGTTCATATTTTCTATTTCTTCCTGATTCATTCTTGGCAGGTTGTGCATTTCTAAGAATTTGTCCTATTTCAGTTCTTAATAATAAATGTGAGGTGCCATTTGAGCTACTGTCTACTTTATTTTGCATTGACCATTTCTGCCAGGAGTTGGGTGAAAGATGGAACAAACACAGGTACACAGGATCTATGTACATGGCGGGGGTCAAAACACTGGTGTCAGAAACGTCTTTGGGGGGGGGGTCACGGGGTTTGTTTTCTTTTTATAAATTTATTTATTTTATCTATTTATTTTTGGTTGCGTTGGGTCCTTGCTGCTGTGTGCGGGCTTTCTCTAGTTGCGGCGAGCGGGGGCTACTCTTTGTTGCAGTGCGGGGGCTTCTTATTGCAGTGGCCTCTCTTGTTGTGGAACACGGGCTCCAGGCATGCGGGGCTCAGTAGCTGTGACTCGCAAGCTCAGTAGTTGTGGCTTGTTGGCTCTAGAGCGCAGGCTCAGTAGCTGTGGCACATGGGCTTAGTTGCTCTGTGGCATGTGGGATCTTCCCGGACCAGGGCTCGAACCCGTGTCCCCTGCATTGACAGGCAGATTCTTAACCACTGCGCCACTGGGGAAGATTGCATAGGCATTGAACCAAGGCAGATAAGGGTTTTATTCAAGTGTGAGATCAGGTAAAATAGATCCTGGCCTCTGACTCACATGGAGACTTTGGACAAGCCCCCAATGACTCTGCCTGTGCTTCAACTTCACTATGGAATGGGGGAGGACACAGGGAGGGGTGGCACGTGTCAGGCACATCCTGATGAGCCACCCTACTCAGGGCTGGTGAGGATTCTTGAGGAAGTAAGATGCTGCGGTGGTCTCTGAGTGGTTTGCAGAGTGAGGCAGGAAAAGGGACTTCAGAAGCCGTTCATGATGATGATTTTAGCTTTGAATTCTCTCTTGAAGGAAATGCAAAAGGATATGGATGAGAAGATGGATGTTTTAATAAATATACAGAAGAACAGCAAGCTGTGAGCGTAACCTGCACCCGTCTCTCCTCAGCCCTAAAGAATCTCCTCCCTTCGCTTTGCTAAGTGTCCTCGGGGTTCAGTGGACTCCCAGACCCTTCAAGGAACTGTCTTCGTTTCTCTTCCCCAGTGGCTTGTAGTCAAGGCCTTCCACGGCCAACTGTGCTACTGGTTATCTCCTTTCCTGTTGAAAATTATCTCCCCAGTTCTGCCCCTCCCTAACTCCCCAGTCCTCTCAGGAGAGGACCAAAGGAGCAGCAAGAACTCAGGCTTATAGGAAAGACAGACACAGACCCACAGATCCGACGGAAGAAAATGGATGGAGCTGATGGAGTACCACTTGCCCTTCACATAAAGATGACGGCACTACAACAACCAAAAAGAGATCCAATGGATTCCCTTCACCAATGTGATACCTGCTGTGTAATGAAGCCCTCCCTGACCCTGCTCTGGTGTTACATCCCTGGGTTCCTGTTCCCGCCGACCTCCCCTGGGCTCTCTCACTCTCTTACCTCTTGCTGTAAAGGACTGGTTCCACTCCTCTCCTGAGCTGACCTTGCCTCAGGCTCCTGACTTTCTCCCCATATAACAGGCAACTTCCATACCAGGCCTGGGCATCCTTTCCACCCTCGGCATCTGGACCTGCTTTCTGATTTATCTGTGCTTCAACTCCTGTGTGACTGAGGACGTAGTTCCAACTTAGTGTCACCGCAGGACCTATCAGCAGCTCCAGTTTGGCCTCTCCCCACTCCTTGAGCTGCACAGCAAATGCTTGCTGCCCTCTTGCATACCACCCGGCCCCTGTCTCCCTCTACCCAGAGAGTAAAATCTTCATTTAAAGCCAAAGCAGGAGTCAAAGCATTGAATATCAGCCTCAAACTTGAGTGTGCAAGGAGTGTCGCTTTTTTGGATTGAAATCAGTGTATTTCAGACTCCAACCTCTCTTCTTGCTTCCTGATGGTTTAGTGGAAAATTCTTCAGGTCATCCTTAGGGTCTTCCTAAGGATGATCCTTCCCCACTCATCCCTGCTTCCCTCCTCTTCACCTGGTTCTGGAAATGTCCCAGGTCAAGAGATGAAGGGAGGCCCTGAAGATATCAGATGCCATTCTGTGTGATCCCAGAAGTGTGCATGTGTGTGTGCGTGCACGCGCGTGTAAGTTGGACAATGGGAGGAACCCCTGGGCCCAGGGTCTTGACCACTGGACTGCCGGGGAATTCCCACACATGCCAGTTTTAAGAGCTAAGACAAGGTCATCAGGGACACAGGGCTGTCAGGATCCGTTGAAGTGCTGAGTCTTTTTTTGTGCAGATGACCATACACTGCTAATCAAGCCCCCAGGGACTGGTGGCAGTGGTCTCTGCAGTTCCTGTCCCTTGACCCTTTCCAAGCTCCCCCGTGCCCTAGTTCCATGTCATCCAACTCAGAGGCAGCAGAAGGACAACACTGTGTGTTGCGGGGGACAGTTCTGCCTGGCTGTCACACAGCTGTCATGTCTGCCCTTGGGAATGGATGTTCGGGGAGCCAAAGCCTGCCATTCCTGCCAATGCTGCTCTTGGGCCAGCTTTGCTGGTGAGCTTGTGCTTTTTCTGTAGGTCTCAATGTCATGTCATCTGGAAGGGAATTATACTTAACCTTGTGTCTTCTCCCAAAGATGCTATTCCTGTCCCACGTACAGAGCCTGTTGGGGGGCATTGGCCTGACCTGGGCCACCATTTCTGCTTTGTGCTGCAGCATCCAATTGATCCAAGCAAGGTGGACAGCCAACTCAACTTGCCCAATCAATTTCTTTCCCTGGGAATTTGAAATTGGAATTTGGTGAGACTCAGCTGGCCCCCAGAACTGGACTTATAATTGGGAGTTGAAGAGGCCTCTGCCACCATTGGCCAAAGACACAGATCTACAGAAAAAAAATAATAAATCACTTTGCAGAGAGAGAAGAATGAAACAGAGGGACAGAGAGAAGTGGAGACCCATGCAGTTCTGCAGAGGGAGCTGGGAGAGCCACTGTCTGGCTCAGGCCCCGCTGGGCTGGTGCTGGCCCCTGCCTTGGCTTCATGAGAGCCTCTGGACCCTTGGACCGAGGTGCACATTTCTGTTTAAGCAGAGTGGCTTTCTGTTACCACCTAACAAGCCTGAGCTGAGGCCCCACGGTTAGAAGGAATGTCAGAGATTGGTCAAATCTCTTCAATTTACAGTGAGGATTCTGAGGCCCAGAGAGGTGCAGTGAGGTGCCCTCAGGCACACAGCCCATTTGTAGCAAAGCCAGGACCAGAACCCAGGTTTTCTGACTGCTGGGCCAGTGCTCTGTGGCTCTCTGGGGCTGGCTGTATTTCCAAGGGCAATAAGATGAGATAGAAGGCGGTCAGCTGGATCTGGACATGAATCAGTGGCGTGGTCGCAGGTAAGTCACTTCACCTCTCAGATTGCTTTTCCATCTGGAACGTGGGCATAACCACACCTAATTCAAAGGGGGTGAAGAGGGCATAACCACACCTACTTCAAAGGGGGTGTAATGAGAGTTAGATGAGAGCACATGCAGAGGAATTGAATTCTTTAAAAAAAAATTGCTCTGAGAACAATGATGATGAGGTCAGAACTGTGTTTTTCAGATTAAAAGGCTTCAATTCTCCATCCCGCCTCCAGTCAGAACCAGGTGTGCAATAAAATGAATTTTGATCTACTCCGATTTTAAAAAATAAATGTTCTGAGAGGAGGAAGAATGTGTATATTAAGAAATCAATCAACAGGAAATTATAAAAATGGTATGGGGATTGGGACTGCCTGTTCTAGAGTACAGAGTGGTCCCTTGTAACACAGCATCCCACCCTGTAACCTCGGTGTCTGATTCCAGCAGACTGAGGGGTAAGTGGCTCACCCTAGCTTACGCACAGGTAACAGGTGCTGCAGCCCCAGGCCCTGACTCAAGCAGTCACCAGAGAAACAGGAGGGTGCGTCATTTGGCAGCCATTAGGCAGGCAGGGCTGGGCCCAGGAGGAGGCCAGGCTGTGTCATCCATTCCCATCACTGCCCTGGGCCCTGGCATGACCCCCACTCACAGCTTCCCTTCTCTCGGTCACAGGCCGCAGCCAGCCCCAAAAGGTGGGTGAGGATGGGCTCAGATGTCCACCACCACAGACAGGAGCCCCATCTCTCTCAGATGCAACGGGTCTGAGTATATCCATTTCCATGACAATGGGTTACCCACCCATCTTCCTAAGGGGAGTTGCCCTGTCTGGCTCCAGGGACCCCTAGAGCCTCCCTGAGCCCCCTTCAGTATTTGAGAGGTCATTTACCCTCCTATATATGTGATCAATGTGACTCTTTGGTACTTCCCTCTATATTAGATCAAAACACAACCAAACAGAAATCACATCTCACTTCTGGGGCTTCCCTGGTGGCGCAGGGGTTGAGGGTCCGCCTGCCAATGCAGGGGACACGGGCTCGTGTCCGGGTCCGGGAGGATCCCACATGCCGTGGAGCGGCTGGGGCGGGGG